ATAGAGTTTAATGATTCATCAAGCTAGTATCTTCAAAATCTTCTTAACTAATAAACCTTATCACTAAGAATGTATAAACATATATATGTGCTTAACTTAGATAAAATATCACTACACCATCAAGAAAGATTTCACTTTATTGAATAAGATCAGTATGATTGATATAGTTTCGTTCCTTTTAATTTGACTTCAATAGGCCTTCAACATGAGTAAATTTTCCGTAGATTAGTATCACGATATACAATTACAATTTATACTGACTATTTTCAACTCAATGGTGATATGAATAAAATATATAGTAGAAAACTAAAAACATAAATAATCTTTATTTCAGTTATTCGTGAATTTAGTAGTTGAATTCATAGGTCAGTTGAAGACAGACCGTCATGAAAAACCTGAAAGCACTGGATGACCATTTCATCTAAGTGTGGGACTCCTCAGAAGTTTCCACAACTTAGTTTATTGCCAATAACTACATGAGTCTGATTGATATCAAATTAAAAATAAACTTTGTTTAACCGCTTTTTTCCAAACATACAGGAAATAAAGATGAAATCTACCAATGAGAAAATATCAATTAAGTGGATTAATAGTCTTTTATGTGTCAAAATTATTTTTGATTCGAGCCCTTTTAAATTAAGACAATTGAAATCTTATTGCTCTATTAACCATATGAATCAAAGTGTGTTTCTTGATTCACTTAAATTATAGCAACTCTCTTATAATCAATTTCGATTATGGTTAAACTTTGTTAAGTCCTTTTAATCAACTAACTTAACAGATAATGTTACTCGAACAGTAACAATTCTCATATTGCTTTGTATTGTTATAATTATTATCTTGTCTGTATAAACGTGTATGCTTGATCACATGAAAGCCTACGCACATATCTCTCTCTAGCTAAAATGTTGATAACTTAAATATAGGTCGATGAATCAATCTCTTTTCCATGTATATATGTACTCGATTCCTATTATTAGTCTATGAGTTGTCTAGCTGAACTTTATTCGATCTGACTATAAATTCACCTCTGTACTCGCTCGCATACACACATTCTCTTCTCTGCTTCGAATTCGCTCGATGTGCTTTTAACTTTGTTGTCTGTGCTATCCGCTAATAAACCGTAGTCGCCGCTTTTTATTGCCTTTTGATTTCAAGCACCATGAGATTTATATAATGATCGTTATCAATGTGATTGATTAACGAAGATAAGCCACTACAAACTACTTAATACTAAAACACTTCAAATTCTTGAAAATAAAATCAATACTCTGTGTCAAGTTTTCAGTTAATGAGATTTGCCATCAATATAGTCTTTTTGATCAACAGTCCTGTGAAAAATCATTAATATTCAGATTATCACATGCAACATATGAATTACTCAAAATTGTTTTGTATTTAATACTTATGATTGTTGTCAGTTAAATAATAACCGGAACTTATTCGACGTAAACAAGTCATAGATAAGCAAAGATGGATATTGACTATTGGTGGATGTACAAACAAACAATACAAAATGAATTTAAAGTTCATCTCGTTGCACAAGCAAGTGGCTATCAAAACCCAGTAGCTAAGTGGATAATGCAACGGCGTGTCAAGCGAATGGCACTGGGTTTGAGTCCCGAAGTGTATATCAACTCCGAGATGCAGTTACATCCAGCTGACGAGTCCCAAATAGGACGAAACGCGTGCCATAGATTCCATTGCTAGCCACTATCCGTATTTGCGTATAATGCTTGTCAATTAAGGCAATACGCACAGTATACACATATAGCAATAAGAGATTGATCAATTGCAGCCCTTAACATCAATAGGAAAATTCAAGCAAAATAAAATTAATTTAAGTCATAGATAATGCGAAAACCTAGCTTTCAATAATCTCTTCAATATCTCACAATAACAATTATAGATAATAGCTAACTTTTGAAAGTTTAACCTGTCAGTAGAATTTATTTTGTTTATCTTCATGTTTTGATTAATCATGTCCTTTTCTTTTCATTAACACAAACTTTCTGTTGTAAACAGTCCGTCTATAGAACCCTTATGAATTAATCATTGTTTTAAATTATTAAATAAAACAGTTTGTGAATAGTGTTAAAGTAAACTTGAATTAATACACTAGATAATTAATCCGTAACTCAGTAACACGATACACTGTGTAATGAATTTACGGTATTTCACTGTACAAGTTACAAAAGAGCCCAATCAGAGACATCGTTGTCGCTGGGAATATGTATCGAAAAGAATATACATTATTCAGATGTCGATTCCTCAACTGCTAACATCTAATTGGCGACCACTCAATACTTATCTCAAGGGTCGATCAAAAACTAAGAAACGGAAACTTGTTAAAATACTTTGTGCTGAGAATTCTATATTGTACCAAAATATAACATTGAATAAAGCCATTAATAATAATAATATTAATAACTTGTATACTTATGCATAGAACTAAATAAAACACTTCTATTGAAATGTCACAATTAAAGTTTGGTTTTGTTATCAATGAAGTTGTTATGAAGTAAATCGTACTTCTACAAACCATATTTTAAAAACCAAAAAGCTTTACTAAAGACCGGAAATAAACAATTATAAACTTATTTACAACGAAAATAAAGATTATTAAGCGAATCTCATAGATAAGTAGTTAGTTGGCAACATATAATAAAAAGATGATTAATTATAATATGTCGTTCTTTTAGAAGTCATGAAATTACTAGATTAATGAAATCTCGGCGAGACATGATGCATATAATTAGATCTATGCAGGCATGTGTACACTCTCCAATCATCTGTATATATTATAATGACTGGCTGTACATATTCCTGTGTAATTGGTATTATTATCGTTGCCTGTCAGTTTATGACCTGTTAGAAGTGTCACTTTTGGGTTGACCTGTTGTAAATTCCAGGGACCTGTGAGGTATATTTATGGAAGTGCTACTTACCCAGTCTTCTTTAATAATACGTCCTCTATTACATTTTCGCCTCCTAACTACTGTTTTGTCCATGTCAACACTTCTCCCAACTCCTCCAAATGACTCGTGAAAGCTTGTCATTTTTATTGCGCATATATCTCTACAATACTCATACCACTGAACAACCGAAGTTTCAGTAACGTCAGCAAATGTTGCAGCCAGTGTTACTGGTGTTTTTATCATCCGATTCGCAAAAATTATCATGATTTGCCTTAGTCTCAATCGAGATCGAGCGAAGAAAATCTCTATCCTAGCAGACTTCTTACTACAACATAAGTTAAATCGGAAGACGATCTCATCATGGTAGTTTGAACAAGTTACAGCAGTCATTTGATTACTACCGTCACAAGTAAAGGATATTCTTAGTAATCCCAGTTGTTGTAGCCGCTCAATTATTACGTCTTATCTAAAATCCTCCGTACACCGATAGTACGTGAGCATCAGGTAGTGAATTAGCACTGTGACCTTGAAACCCCTCAAATACCTCTGATTGGCTCGACCATAAATTATAGTCTCGCCCATGATCGAGTATATTGAAACTAAAAATCATGACTTGACGACAATTTACTTTATTACTTTTTATACTGTTTACGATCTCTGGATGCATTAAGAAAATTCAACTCTTCACATGCTGGGATACAGAAACGTGAATCCATAATGAAAGAATCAATTAGAAAAGTATGTCTCAACTTTGCAGTTAATTGAATGTCGCTTAAAATCCCATTTAGCAGTACAGAAAGTAATGATATAAACAATGGAAATCACAAGTCTTAAATCTTGAGATACATAAGGGGTTACTAAATCCTTATTATTACGACTCACAAAACAATGTGTCGATAAGCTAAACAACAGTACAGAACTGTGTCAAAGCACTAATGGCAGTCAACAATATTGAACAGATAGCACGCCACATTATATGCGGAAGTTGTTCCAAATAAACAAGTTCTCAATGAACAACAAGTGCGATGAAGACAAACTGCGAAGATAAATGAGGTAGTAAAGTCACAATAATATAACGAAATCAATGACAAAGTATCATAAAAACATTTGGGAATATCAGTGTATTATAATTAATGTGTTTTAGGCTATTCTTTGCCAAATTATTGACAATATGTAAGCTACTAAATTTTAGTAAGTAGCATAGTATAATACCCATAAATAACGAGCAAGAATTAAAAGTTACAAAACAGATTCCAGCATGTAATATTAACTGTTCGATCATTGTAAATAAACTAATCAGAAAGCGGGGAAGTTGAAGAGTTAAACTAGCACCATTTGGGCACTGGGTATTAACGAATCCCTTATATTTTGAATACTTAATTTTGATGGAACTCTGCTGACAATGTTGCCAAATGAACACCGAATAAATTGGATAAATCATTGTTTACAAGGTATTTTACGTTATACACTTAAAGTTTACATGTGCCATATAATTTTTGTGTACTAGGTAGGTTTATTTTTAATTTCAGACGTACGTTTCATAGTTTCAATCTAATGTATTGCATATTGCGTTCTATACTACGAAATTCACTCAATAAAGTAATCATAACATTAGGTTAATTATATATGATAAGAATGTTTAGGATTATGCACATTACAAAATGTATCAAAAATGTTTTACTGGCTAGTTGCTGTGATACTAGTCTATCAACGGAATTATTTAGCAATAAGTTTCTACGTCATTGATCAGTTTCCACAAATCAAACCAACATCCTTAGCTGTATCCATAGGAAAGTTCAACGTGTTTTTGTTCTTGCTGAGCTGTAAGGAATTACGTTATTGTGGATGAAAATTATTTTCATCATTTTGAGTTTGGACAGTGAACCAATCTATTCTACCGAATATGATGAATATTTTGATCTAATTTTACAAGGTTACAGACATCCTACTTCCACGTATAAGCCTATTGACATCTAACGTCAAGTTTGTATTGTACATTTCTAAGCTTTAATGTGTCCTATTTGAAGCTTTCGTCATGATCCTTGTATACTTAATAATAATAAGAATTCATTGTGGCAGGAGTAATAGAAGATATTAAATGTGATTTATTCATAAAAAATAAATGTATTGTACAAGGAAAGCTATTTCAACTTAGTTGGTTGGTAAGAAATAAGTATATAAACAGTTCATAATAATATAATAATTTCACGTTATTTAATACATTAACCCCTAAATACAGTTTTATACATACATAGCTGAACAAACACAATAAATCTACAATTAATTACAATCAACATCCTTTTTTTTCTTTATTTCTGTTAAGATAAGTACGATGTATGTAACATATGATTAGAAATGTGTGGAATAAGGTAAATATTATACAGCAGTAGTGACCACTTTCACATCAATTAAAATCTTCAGCCATATCTTCTGTGAATTGGTCACAATCACTATAGTCTTCTGAAACTCGATCATCGCTTAAACTTATCCAGTCAAATTCATTCATACGAGAAATGTTCTCTGCTGAATGTCGTACTGGTGTAGTTGTCATCACTGTCGTAACCGGTGCCATAGATGGTGTTGATTGTAACATCGGTGACAGTACTAGTTCTTGTTTACTTACGTCTGGATTCTCTTTAAAAATATTCACTTTTGTATCATGTGTTAGCGACTTCGTATCTGAGTTTCTTGACCTGATATAATTTGTAAGTATTTCATGTATTCTTTTATAACCTTTCTCTTTACATAATGATAAACAATCATTTTCCATACAGTCAATGATTTCAACTTTGGCTTGTTTGTCTAGTAGGAACTCAACAGCTTCTTGACAACCTTCACGTATAGCTAACATGATAGGTGTTCTATCCCAGTCGTCTTTCATATTCATTAATCTAGCAAAACCTTTACACTGTGCTAAATAAGCTAATATTTTGACAGAATTAGTTACGGCCGCCCAATGTACAACGTTACGACCATACTGATCAACTGTGTTATAAGGACAACCTTCGTCTAATAGACACTTCACTACTTCATCATTCCCTGCTTGAATAGCAACAATTATAGGTGAACACTGCCGAGATTCGTAAACTTGGTAACGCCTTCTTGAACGACACGTTGGTTTCGGTGTAGTAATTTGATGTGATTTGACAGACTTTACTGATTTTTTATTGAGTAGAGCCTCCTTTTCAAGCTGGTATAACGACTTGACCGATTCTAAAGAATTAGCAGCAGCCGCGCCAGTCAAAGCTGTTCTACCAAATGAATCAACATATAAAGTACCAAGAGGTCTTTGATTATGTTCATTATGATAGATCTTATTAATTAGGTCATGTCCTACATTCATATGAGCTGCTAAATGTAGTAGACTTTGATTACTAACAACGTTCTTTGATAGATCATCATCCAAATAATCTCCAGTATCAAGATTGTTTGATGACATTTCTACACCTTTATTTTGATAATTATTATTATCATCTAAAACTTGTTCGATTTGACTTCTCTGAGTGACATCACATGGGTGTAGACCATCTAATGATGAAATTATTTTAAACACTTCTTTGTTATCAGATCCCATGGTCTTGATCTTCTCTTTCTTGCTATAAATACTATCTAAATTTAAACTTTCGTTAATCGTGGTTTTTAAATTTTCCTGAGGTAAAAAAGATTCATATTTGTCTTTCAAATCAAATTTACGTTTGCCCTGTTTGTGCTTTTCCTCTTCTCCGAAGGGATGAAAGTTTCCTGTATCTTCACTGAATAAATTTCCCAAATATTTGGGAGTAGTAAACAAATTTTCACTATTAGGTAGTATACCTGATATCATTTTGTCCTGTTTTAGCAATGAAAAAATAAAAGAAAGTAAAAATGACACTTCATTTAATTTTTATTTATAAGATCCAATACAAAATATTTATCGAAGCATACAGATTAATACCATATGAAAACTGTATAGATATAAATATCTAGCGAATGGACTGTATTTTACTGAATGTATTCAAATATATATATATATATATATATATATATATATATATTCCTATGGCTGAATTCTCTGTTCTGAATGATTAGTAAAGCTGTCGTCTTTCTAAATCACATCACTTTTATTACAATCAGAATACAGAAGCCCTATATATATATATATATATATATATATATATATATATATATATATATATATATATATTGTAATTCATATGTATTATAACTGCCTGTAGAGTCTAAAACCTATGATTCAAATCAGTTATTTGATTTACTGTATGGTATTATTTGATGCTTAATATCATCAACTAATTTATCCACATAATTTGGAAGATATTTCGAATCTTACTGAATTATGACCATAATCATGTGTTTACCTACAATATTGCGTCTCATAGTCAACCTTGTTTAACCAAAAACTGATTTTGAATATCAGACACTTGAAAAACACTTGGTTTATAGACGCTCTTACGGATAGGCAAACGTTTTCTCATAATCATTTTTTTCATCGTGAATATTTATTCGAAAAGATAACAGACGAAATAACTGAAGTTCGGTGTTATCAAAATTCACGCTTTCATGAGTCGTTCCCAGGATAAAAGATAAATTCTTTTATAGATATTCTTAGAATGAAAAAACAATGCCCCTTCGAAACTCAACTTCTGGCTTTAAACGAGGTATTACATGATTTTTCCGAATTTTTCAGGTAGATCGGTACTTCGAGACTGCTATGATAAATGAATGGCCATAGACCACAGTAGGGATAAATAAAATCTACTTAAAATCCCATTTTTATGTTTAGGTAAACAGCAAATTGTTTCGCTGATTGTAAATTAATTTATTTGGATGTGACTGAAGAAAATAATATTTTAACCGTTATTGTCAAGTTTTAAAATTAAGATTCTTTGGTTGTAATAAATTGCATAAGATCGATGATTAACGTACTAGTGATCATACATTTGATCAACAGACTGATGTGTTCGAATGATCAGTCATTGATGTTAAGTACCTAATAGTCATGAGGAGAAAAGGAATTAAACAAATATCCTCAACATTGATGAAGACCATAATAAGTGTTTCGTCACTGAACTACACAACAATGAATAGCATATTGTTAACACTTATTTGAATATATGTCACAGTAACTGATTTCGTATTACTCATATACATTTTGTTAGTAATCTCTTATCTGTCATATAAACATTCAGAACTGTGTTGTAATCTCAGATAAGTCTCTTTTGTATAGAATAGTCTTTATCATTATGACAACAATAATGTGGAATTAAGACAACCAACAGGACGAATAATAAAATATTTAAAATTTCTGGAATTTTCCTGTAAGATAAAAAAACAAATTTTTCATAGAATTTAAACAATTAACTTACTTGAGTAAGACGTTTCTTTTTACAATTTGGTGAATAGTCATCACTCAATGAAATATCTGTTCCAGGAATCTACGTAAAGTATAAACATTGAAGAATTCATTCATATTGTGAATTTTAAACTATCTAAATACGTTTTAGAGCTAAAGAATCATATAAACCTGAGAAAACTGGGTAAATCAGATGCGCACTGCTGAAGAGTTTCATAACAAGACGAAACGACCGTCCAGTGCTCCAAGATTAACCATGATGGTCTATCTTCAATTGACTCATAAATTCAACTATTAAAATTTAATTTGTTGACAGTTATCATATTACCAAACTAAACATACTCCATAAACATTCAATTTTCTCAAACAAAAAATTTAGATTTCGTATTACAAACAGTTTGGTATTCAGTAGTAATTGGTTCGAACTATAGTTTCATTCTTCTAACAAGTAATTATTTATTTTCAAAATCAATATTAAGTGTCCTATAGTCAAATACTACTAGCAAGGAATTCAGTAGGTTACTTTTAAATTATACTTTTTCTCAACTGTCATTCAAATTTTTCTTCGATATCAAAGTGACATATTTTTTTTTAATATGAACGTAACGAGTGAATATTTTGTTATGATAATCTACCAGCAAGTTGAACTTGAATTTACAGCTACTTCTAGACTTGAAATTTTTCAAAACATCTAACTAAATGAAAAGTATGAATATTAAACAACTACATTCACGTTCCCTTCAAAACAAAAATAATTATTCTTAAATGTAAAATGCATTAAATTCACCCTTTTCTTTTGTACTAACATATTTATCAATCCATTTATTGTTAACAAATTTATCTTCCCTGTAAATGTTACAGTTTTCACTCTGAATTTATCACTAGGATAATAGTGTATCCCCTTAATCACTTTGGTTTTAATTGTTTCATCTTTATTGCGTAATATTAGCCTACTGGCCAATACTGATATTTTAGATTGGATATTCTTGGTCTGTAAATAATTGAGGACTAAAAGCTAATGAGACAACTGAAGCTTATGTATGCGTCATTAAACGAAAACCAAACATATATTCAATTCACATAATGTTAGTAAATATCTGCTAGGATACCGTTGTTTTAATTATAAAATAAAGATTGAACTGTAGAATCATAGTTCTTATCAGTGGTTACTTTTACATTTATTCGTACATTTTTAAACGTTACACACTATTTTATCGATATTATTGTGGTTTACTATCAATAGAATTTAATTACTGACATGCACTAAAATTTACACACTTTAGTATCAGATTATTGTGCGGTGTGTGGCAACTAATAAAAGATGACCGATACACACAACTTTCATTACAGTTGATCCCAGTAACTGCAGTCGGTGACCTATGGTCAGTGGATGTGATGGAACGGTTTCCGCAGACGGTGAGCGGTAATTAGTACCTGCTAGTGATGACGGAACATGCTACATGTTGGGTAGATGTCTTATCCACTTGAGGGTCAGGATAGCTGATCCCGAAGTGGGAAGGACCATACATTGACACTGATAGATGTGGCTCGATTTACAGGATTTGCAGGAGAACACAAGCAGAAGAGCGTAAATGCCAGTCAACCTCAAAGATGGTTCCAAAAGCATCATGAGTACGAGTCACGAACAGCACCAAAGAAGACAGCGGTCGGAAAGACTGTGAGAACAGCTTATTAATAAGGGGGACGATTGTGATGTGTGCTACATATGACGGCATAAGAAGAATATAACGCTAGTCTGGAATAGAATGTCTGGCAGCAGAAGGTTGAAAGATTGAGGAGGGAAGAATGAGAACAGAAAGTAATTGGTATGGAAATGCATGAACAATAAAGTCTAAGACAATTAATGAACATTTTGCAAATTGGAGTATTGGAGTATGGTTTTTTTCTATTTTATCAAGTAACTCAGCAATTTTCTACTAAATATGTTCAGTTGTCCTCGCATGTGTTCTCCTTTATTACAATTGTATAATAATACTCTAATTTAAATAATTACATTTTTGTTTAACTGGATGGTATTTTGTTGTGTAGTTCATTTAAACCATACAACGGCATACGAAATAGTATTTTGGAATAAATAATTAACAGAAAATATTTGCATTATGAATGAGACAAATAATAAGAAAGACAATTATCCATCTATTCCAAGTTGACATTTTGAAATTTAATCAAGAGTATAAATAGTGAAAGCTACTGTGATATGCACCCTACTAAATTTAGGATGAACTTGGAAAATTTTCTTATACGACATTATAAATATAAATGATAAATCATATTTAGTTGTAAATATATCTTCACAAAGATGATATACATTGAACAAACCTAATACTAACAATGATCACTTAACTACTAGTGTTTTGTAAGTAGATGGTGATGTCTACGTAAAACTAAAGTAGTAAATGAAGCATTGTGATTATTAGCATTCAAAACTCCATACTTATTCATTTGATAATGATGAAAGACTTCATCATCAAAATATATTGTCTTTCCTTTTAGTCAAAAAGTAGGTTCATACAAAAGTTAATCGTTGAGAATCTATTTGATTTCTTTTGAAAGAATGAGGTTTTTAGGTGATTATTAAATATGATTACGATCATAAATTGATGAATACTTTAATGGTTGTCTTCCATAGGCCGGTTTGTGGTCTTAATAATTGTATTTTAGTGGAATACTATTCTTAGGTTATTAATATTTGTGATGCAGATTGTTTCAAGTACTGGGTTGACAAAGGAAAACAAATTTTACCTACTAGATATCATTTTAATGTATGATATTTGATAGATCTTTATACATACTTATAATTAAGTATAAACTTGAGGAATAACGCTCACTTTATCTGAGAGGAATCCAGCAATCATTTCTTCATGATTGTACTTTGGGACATTTGACAAAGGGAATGTATCCTTCTCATTAGCAGTTGAAGAATTTAAGTAATCTTGAAAAAATGATGAAGCTGATGAAGTTTGTTTAAATTTATTGTCAAAATATTTTGATTCATTTATTGTCATTGTTGTTAGAGGTGGTTCTGTAACTCCTACAACTGATTTAAATCCTGTGAAATAAACCGTAGATTGTTGTCCTAATAAATCAATTTGATTAGGTTTAGAATAAATCGATGATACAGGTGGACACCAAATACCTTTCGTTTTCACACGTTTCAATGGTTTTCGCCAGTTATTATCATGTTGAAATACCAAGAATAAAATTAATATAATAATTACTGAAAAACAAAAAAGATAACCAGAAAAAAAGATTAATGTTCTCATTCCATAATTCAGCTATATTAATCGAACATTCACTCATATTATACTATACTATACGAATATGTCTTCAATATAACTTCCAACCAAACCCTTTCACGTAAGTAATTTAAACCCATTATATAATTATAATTTTAAATATCACAGATTGTAAACAGCTGACGAGAACCTACAAAATGAAAAATAAACTCATGCTATTCTACTAGAATCTTTGTTCTTGTTCTTTTTATTCATATTACTTTTAGTTTACAATTTTGAATAGTTTTCAATAGCTAAGTATGATTAGTTGTAAGGATAGACATTGAAACTGTAAGTAGTTGGAATATCTATTCTGTTTAATCATTTATGTACTAAGAGGATATTATTCAACACTATGAGTCAGTGGTACACCTGAACCACAGACTCTGTAATTAGATAGTAAAAGAGAATAAAAAACGTATTGAACAATAATTGTATTTTATCATGTTTAATCATTCGCTGACTACACCATAGAAAGATTTAAATAGTTATATAGTGAATTCTGAAACATATTAATTCAGTAATTCATTCATATATTCTAAAATCTTCAGTCATCATAAATCAAAAATAAGTAACTATCAATGGAACTCCGCCTGGAGCCCATCAGGGGCTACTACCGGCCCCAAGCCGGGATAAAAGAAGAGGGTTAGGCATGAGGTTAGCGACACCATCCCGTAGAAAACCAACTCTCTAAAAATGCTAACCAGAAAAGACTAATTCAAACCATTTAAACTCTGCCTTAGGAGTTAGAAGATCTTCAATTAAAAGAGTTATGATATCTCATGGTGAAATCCGAGTTCCTTCGATAGTCACGAGTTTGGTGCCCCTTCTGACAACCAGGGCAACTATTAATCCAAATACATGGAATAGTCGTAAAATGTGGGAGATCGGGAGAGTCATCCAAATTTCTACAGAAATGAGGTGCTCGGAATCAGTGAAACACATTGGACGCAGGTTGGACAACAAAGACTAGCTTCAGAGATGCTTCTGTTACACTCTAACCATGAAGAAGAAAACGCTCCATATACACAAGAAGTTACACTGATGCTATGCTAACTATCAATGCACATTCTAATAAAAATAACTAAACAACGCACAAATAGATCACATTTCTTGGCAATGAAAATACACAAGTACAGTTCACCGGAATACGAATGAAATTTAATGAAAGTATAAAATTCTACTTCTTTAGGAATAACTATAGAGTTGATTACTATTACATGAGTACTCATATGTTCACATATTAAGATTTTTCTATTAGTATTTGTCAATTCACTATGGTACAGATTTTAAATTGTTATGTATGTATATTCTTAAGATTTATCTTATGCTTGTAATCAGACTTTGTAGCTGATATGATAGCAAAAAAATGTATCAGTCACTACAAGACATTTTGTTGAAATCTAGAGATTATGGACATTTTTTTCAAATACAACTATTATTTATCAATAATTTCTAAGTTTTTCCAATCATATTCCGTTTATCAGTATAGGGGTTGTGGAGATTATTAAGTTTTTAATTGAAATCATGAACAGATTGATGTTAGACCACCACTGAAAACCTGGAAGCACTGAACGGCCGTTTTGTCTGATTGTGGGACTTCTCAGCAGTGCGCATTCACGATCCTGCTCGCGGGATTCGAACCCAAGGCCCTAAGTTTTACGGTGGTCTAACATCGATATGTTCATAATCTGAATAAAAACTCACCAACTCTCACAACCCTATACTGATAATTACCATGTGCTTACTAGTGACTAGTTCCCTGAGAAAAGTCTCGGAGTTCTAGTGAGAAGTCATGACCAGTGGAGCTAATCCGTATCGGGTAGAGACAGGTATCCACCTCGGTACGATGGAAGATGGACACGCAATTACGTGGTTTGGTTGAGATTAGACACTAACATTATTAGATGCCAGCTCAGTGGTCCAGCAGGTCAGACGTTTGCGCGCGAGACCTATGGCCTTGGGTTCGAATCCCGTGGGCGGGATCGTGGATGCGCACTGTTAAGGAGTCCCGCAATAGAACGAACCGACCATCCAGTGCTTCTAGGTTTTCAATAGTTGTCTAACATCAATCAGTTCATGATTTCAATTAAAAACATATTCCCTTTAGTTAAATTAATTGGTATTTCTTTTAAATAAATTCCGTAGGGTTTCTGTTAACTTTGTTTACAAATCGATGTCTTTATTAAATCGAACTACACAATAAATACTTTCACTCATCCATGAATAATTCAAATGATCAAAGTACCTATATACTTTCATTATTCGCTCATTATTTATCAAACTTTGATTATCTAACAAAAAACTATAACACATAAATGTTAACTTAAGCATAAAGTTCTTCACAACTATTTCTTATTCATATAAGTAATAAGTATTGTCTGAAAAGAAACTAATGTCATATATCTGATTAATTCATTCATTGTTTATGTTCATATTGTTTTTTGCTAAACACCATTAAGATACATTATGTAAAACATTCGAATAATCTAATGCGTCTAAATGTTTTTTACTGATCTGTTACTGATCTTTCATACTTGTTATCTTGTTAATATGAAGTTATTCAAAATACTGTCGAATATTATTTAACGTATATAAGAGGTCAATTAACAGAAAAAACAAAATTACAACGGATTATAGATATTACATTTTGTTTAAAGTCTGTCTTTATTTATTTCCTTATAAAAATTATGTTATGCTATTCAATACAATGAATTATTTGCATAATTTACAACTAACACCTATTTATAAACTCATCTAAGATGCAAACTAAAATAAAGGTGATTTGTACATTGACTGATCACGGTTTAGTAACTAATGCCATGTTTATCTAATTCTTGGAGTTGATCAAACTCCATTGATCAGATTGAAATGTAGTGACTAGTTTAAGTGATTCAATATTGTGTGCACTATGATTGGATATTTGATAGTTGGAAGTACTTAGACTCAAACTTATAAATCTAGACTTCATTAAAGGATACCTTAATTTTAAGGTAATTAATTAATCCCCTCTGTGCGACAAATGTAAAGTTAGCTACCTATACCTGATCAATCAATGTAGATATCTCAGCCTCACGAGAGTTAAGCTGAACCTTAAATAGCGGAATGGTAAGGTCCTAGACTATAATACTAGATGACGCAGTTTGGAATTCTACAAGGAATCTCACTTCCATTAAGAATACCGGGTTTGTCTTGGTAATTACTCTCAACATGTATAAAACCTAGGTTCACTGTTTTATACCGATCACATTCAATCATCTAACATCAAAGGCGAGCTTTGTTTACTGAGTGTATATAGGTAATCCTAATTCACAACAGTATAATTGTTGAAAATATCTGTTTCAGTTATAAATTAGGCCGAAAATAAGTATCCAGGTTTATTTGTAAAATGAAGCTCAAAACTAATCAATGATTATTAACATCCACCTATTTGGTTCCTTTGACGAGAAAACGTATACTCATACAATCTTGAATAAATTGAATAGAAAAGAAATATATTTAGATTCACAGGAATCTCAACTTATTGATTTATATGCAAAGCATATTTAGAACTGCTTTCCGATTTTGTAGTTGGTGTGAATGTTGAAATAAACTAGAAGGAAGATGAAAATACTGTGGTATAAGCTCTATTTGAATTAACATTCTCGTGAACTCAAATAACTAAAGAAACGCGTATGTGTTAAATATACTTAAAAGATGTAACGATTTATAGAAACAGGGAATGTCAAGCGACAAGTTCGTTTAACTTTATTTTGCACAGTTTGGGACTGTTATATTGGAGAAGTTATCTAAATTCAGATATTTTCAGCTTTGAGACATCTATTACTCAATCTAGGTTTAGTAACATCTTCAATATCAGTATTGAGTTATTGAGATTGCTGAGTTTTTATTGAGATCATGAACCGATCAATGAAAGACCAACACCAACGGCCGTTCTATCCTAGTATGTGACACCTCAGCAGTGTATCAACGATCACGCTCGCTGTAGTCGAACCCAGGACCTTCGATCTCGCGCGAACGCTTAACCTATAGACATACGAGCCGAGATGCGACGGCTTTAATGTTTAACTTCAACCACCATTTCTACGATGATCTAACGTTGATGTGTTCGTAGTCTCAATGAAAACTCAACAATTTCAAAACCCTATACTGATATTTATCACTAGTGTCTAGCTTCCAGAGGCGATTCTCGGAGTTCCAGTGAGAAGCCGTGACCAGTGGAGTTCAAATGTGTTGAATGTGAGGCAGTTAATCTCTGAAGTCAATGCGAAATGGTCGCACAACCTCGTGGATTGGTTGAAGTTAGTCATTAACACAAGTGAATGCGGCTAAGCGGTTTAGATTTTGAAGGTTCACTAGCGAAACCGGAGCCCCTGGGATCGTGTACGCGTACTACTGAAGAGTCCTATACAAAGCTGACATGGTCATCCAGTGCCGTCATTCATTTAATGATCGCCTAACATTGATCGGTTTATGATCTCAATGAAAAAACTTCGATTGTCGATTACAACATAAGTTTAGTTAAATAAACCTTCTGAATTTAATCAATTGACTACTAGATAATGCCATATACGATGTTATTTGGTTATGATATCCAAATAAGCTAATTAAATAAAGCATGAGATGTCATCATCAACTGAAGCAAATATTCAACATGATATATTGTTCCTGTTTTGAAAAATTGGATGAACCATCGACCATCTATATCTTTTTTAGGTTTATTTGGTATGTTCAAATGTAAGATCACTTCAACTAAATACGCAGAGTTCCAGAAAGGTTATTATACACGGTGCAGCAATCTTTGAAATTGACAATCAGCCACAGTTACTGTAGTGAACAGTCGAGAAACTTAAAAGAAGCAAACTATTTATTTATGTGGCATAAAACTTTGTATATATGTTTACATATACGGCTATATGATAATGTCTCTTCAACCAATATAGTTGAGCAAGCACATATGTTCAAGGTAATGTTGATTTCTACGGTGTTGTAAATCTATATTGTTTATTTATACCAACGAACAAAAAGCTTCTTATTGGTAGAAATAAGCCACTCAGATATTTAAATTTTATAGACATAAAAATTAGTTACTTTAAATATTCCTGTAAATAAATACAATGACTCAATCATGTAATGAACCAGTCAGAAGTCTCTCCACAAGCAAGTAATATATAGTAAATAAGACTAGCGTTATTTTGAAAATAGTACCGCTGATAGCAAATGCTAAATAAATTACAATATAGAAATTGAGTTTACAGAACAGGACTTCAGCATGTACTCTATTTACTTAAGTAGTTTAAATGATGTAATCAATTAGAAAATAGTTCTTATTACGAACTAGATGAACAGGTAATGATGGAGGAATAAAACCAGGAAGACTTGAACAAATAGTTTGTTCTAGTTTGAGACTTCGGAACACATAAATAATTAATATTAGAAATTTTCAATCATTTAGTGGCTACGTTAAGATCCTATAAAGTTTAAAGAGAGGTAATATAGCTTCCCCATCTTCTTTAGAAAACGTATGAGAATTTTCAAGTTAGTCTTCACAAACTTAGGCTTGTATTATAAACCAACTCTAACTTACTTCCAGCTAAAATGCATATACAAACGTATAATCCAATAGCTTCTTTTGAAATTCTTGTATCAGTTGAAAATTCTAATTCCCATGGTGCTTTAAAATGTGAGTGACTTGGTGAATCAACAAAATGTAAGTTGATTATACTAAAAAGTGATTTGTACTGATTTGTACTTAATGCGGCAAGAATATAAGCTTTAAGTTCATTTGGTTGAAGTAATTGAACACCATCGTTCGTGCACATATTTCCCTCAGTTGTTTTGCAGTTAATATTTGATTGACTGATGACTTCAAGAAGCACCTAAAGATAGAACAGCAAAAGTTTTTTTTTTAATTGCATAGATTTTAACACTTATTACTGTTGGCATTCAAGTAAGTGACATTAGATGTGAAAAAACAGTGTTAAAATTCCTTCCTTTATTACACTAAGTATTTGTACAATCGAAAAGAAACAGTCAGTAGGAAACATGAAATGGTCAATTGACTTCGATTAGTTAGTTAATCATTTCATAATCAAATATTAATTAACTACAAATAAAAGGAGTATGATAATTTTTATTTTTGTTTTTTTGATTGAGATCATGAACCGATTGGTGTTAGACCACCGTTTGAAACCTGGAAGCAGTGGACGGCCGTTTAGTCCTATTGTGGGACTCCTCAGCCATGCGCATCCACAATCCCGCTCGCGGGATTATTACTTTAGACAGCTGGTTTTTAACTGAGCTCGTAAAGGGGTCCGATAAATGACACTGAATAGAAACTTGACCTACAGTACGATTAGTATGAGTGACTACTGTAGTACAGATTCGGCATTCTGTCAATTGAGCTATGAAATTTGAATGCTTTATAAAACTGAATTTGATCTAACTGATAAGTAACCGCAAGATTGCTAGTAGCTATCTATCACAATTCAAATTTTCTATTATTTCTGATTTCTGACTTCTTATCAATAATGGTAGCAATAGAAAGCCTAAGATATTTTGATCTGTTTCTTAGAAAGTTATCAATTGAATACTTACTTTAATTTGGTTTTTACTAGGAACATCTTCTAATAAAAGTTCTTGAGTGATGTCATCCTTTGCAATCTTAACAATCGACCGAAGAATTATACCTAGATTTCCCAGATACTGATTACGATTTAACTTGAATTTTGATTGATTTGTTTTCAGATGAAGTAAAATGTACTTGATTGATAAATAATTGTTTCTTTGTTCATTTTTACAATCTCCTCCATCATAGCCACATTGAATGGTATCACATTGGGATTGACAAACACCATCTCCATATGACTGTAAGCAGAATTCAAATGGCACACACTGCGATCTAAAGTAAATATAATAGAAGGAAATATCGATGAAGACTTAAAATTCAGTTCGTAATCTTGCTTTTTAACCACAATCAAGTTTAACATTATTAATTAAGAATTATTTAATAGAAGGTTCCATTGAATCAAGTTGATTAAGAATAACGAATTTGTCTGCTAAACTATTTATTTTAGTGTACTGGATTGGATAGAATTTCTGCTTTAAATCAACTCAAAGAATAATTGTCGTTTATAACACCTTTCATAGATACAATATATATACTATATTAATTAATATATTTAGACTCAATTGTCTTTCATTTGAAAATATCTTATGTTTATCAAACTACCTTCTAAGAAAGTTAATAGATGAGAAATAATTACAGGTTTACATAGCGATGATTTACAGTAGTCCATAAGATTATCCCAAAGTTTCAACTGTTACTTCTAAACAGACGTTTGAAATCTTACGTTAAGTTGGAAATATCGATATTAATCTTCTTCAAACTAAGTGTTTTAACTTACTATCTGGATAAAGAAATTAAATACTGCAAAAATATTGTTAGAATAAAACACCAGTCGTATTGGTAGATGATTATATGAAACCGAAAATTAACTGAAGTTAAAGACATAAAATATTAAATGACGTCCCAGTGATTTGTAAGTGATCTTTCCACTAGACCTGAAATTTCTAAGTTCAATAGATAAAGCGGTCGTGAATCCGCTCTGTTGAATAGTCGCATACTAAGATAGAACAGCTGTTCAATGCTTCTTGGTATATAGCGGTCGTCTAAAGTCAATCTGTACTGCATACAATGTAACTCAATAACCTCCACATCTCCTCTATACTAAAACATTGAAAACTCGAGTAAGGGGACTAGACTCAGGTAAGTTGATTTTCCTTCTCGAAATCAACGAGATTTCTTTTGAAGTTAAATGAATGATAAGGTCTGTCACAAACATGTCAACCTATCAAACGGTGATTACGTCATCAACATAATTTAATCCATTTTAATATTTTCCCATTGTTATCCAGTTTAGAAATACATTGAATTAATTTGTTTAGAAAATAAATATGGTAACTCAGTTGTAAATAATGTAGTTCACAAAGTTTATTTGTGATTTACAACTAATTTACTAAATTAGAGTATACAATACCTTGCATCATCCATCAATAAAATACTCTAAAACTATGATAAAAGATCTAAAAAAGCACATTTCCCTCAATCAGCTATAGTTCCTATTTCAAACAAACAAAATTCTTTAAATCTTCAATGACTAAATGAATAATACAGAAATACAATTAAATTTACCAGAAGGGGATTTTGTGGATATTATAGTACTGGACGGCCATTTCGTTCTATTGTGGGACTCCTTAACAGTGCGCGCAGTGGTCCAGAAGTTAGGCGTTTGCACGCGAGACTGATAGGCCCTGGGTTCGAATCTCGCTAGGTGGGATCGTGGACGCGCACTATTAAGGAGTCCCACAATAGGACGAAACGTCTATACAGTGCTTCCAGGTTTTCCGTGGTGGTCTAGCTTTAACTAACTTATAACCTCATTCATTAAAATTAAATTTATATATACATTATAACCTTTTCATTTAACTTTAAACAAGACAATTATTTTCACATAAGATGAATATGTAGTTGTTAAAAAAATTATATTTTACATACCAACTACTAAAACTGACTGAAGTTCATATTTAGTCAAGTCAAAAACTTCTATTGTTTCATAGATTATTATTACTATTATTATTATTTTTATTATTATTATTACAGAAAAATAACTGACAAACTAATATACGGTACAAATAAACTCTGAACAGTTTAAAGTAAAAAAAAAAAAACATTTATCTATATGAAAGTGTTATTTATTGTAATTTTAATTTGTTCATTCATATTTAAAATTAAAGAAAAACAAGCAGTAAATTAGTCATTTACACTTAATTCATTTTGAATAGAACATGTAGACAGACATTTAGCTAGAAGGTAACTAACATTTACAATTGCAAACAATGATTATATAATTGATTTTGTTTATATATATAATTCTTTAGAGAATATTATTAAGACCATTTATTTCTAGAATGCATTATAATTGTCCACTGAAATAATTTACTTACTTACGCCTATTACATCTCGTGGAGGAGTATAGGTTACCCACCAGCACTCTCCATCTAACACTGTCGTGGGCAATCCTTTCCAGCTCTTTCCAGTTCCAATTTATCTTTTTCATATCTGCTTCCATTTTCTGACGTAGTGTGTTCTTAGATCTACTTTTTTGCTTCCCTTCAGGATTCCACGTTAGGGCTTGCCTCATAATGGAGTTTGATGATTTTTTCAATATATGTTCTATCCACTTCCATCATCTTTTCTTAATTTCCACTACAGCTGGAAGCTGGTTTGTCCTCTCCCACGGGAGACTTTGCCGGTGGTATCCGAACAAAGGATATTCAGAATCTTGCGTAGAAAATTGTTTATAAATACTTGTACCTTTTTGATGATGATTGTAGTAGTTCTTCACGTTTCGGCTCCGTACAGTAGAGTTGTCTTGGTGTTCGTATTGGAGATTCTCACTTCGATATTGGTTGACAGTTGTTTTGAGTTCAACATAATTTTCAATTGTAGAAAGGGGGAGAGTAGACAGCCTTTTCTGACTCCAGTTCTTACTTGGAATGCATCTATCAGCTGTCCTCCATGCACGACTTTGTACTGTAGTCCATCGTATGAGTTCCGGTCAATGTTGACAATCTTCTTAGGAACTTTATAATGTCGAAGAAGTTTCCATAATGTTCTCCTGTCTACACCGTCAAACGCCTTTTCATAATCAATGAAGTTGATGTGTAGTGACGAGTTCCATTCAACTGATTGTTCGACGATGATCACAATTTGGTCTGTGCACGACCGGTCCTTACGGAATCCAGCCTGTTGATCCCGAAGTTAAGCGTCCGCCGTGTCCTTCATACGGTTCAGCAACACTCTGTTAAAGACTTTCTCTGGTACTGACAGTTATGTGATGCCTCTTCAGTTCCCGCATTTACTCAGATCTTTATATTGTATCATGATGAGATATCTGTCTTCCCAATTTATCGGTACTTGTTCTTCCTCCCAAATCTTCTTGAATAGAAGGTGAAGCATACTTGCAATTTACTAACAACAAATTTACTATTGTACAAATTTCAACTCAAACAAAAACTAATTTGATTACATTTTGATAAGATGTCAATAAATTTATCACTGGGATTAAATTTAAAGCTAAGTGGTTCGAACTATTTTAGTGGTTATAAGTATCATTACCGGTAGGTGATTGAACAATTTCAGATAAATCAAAAATTATTTAGAATAGTACTAATGAAATAATGATATATTTGTGATATTTTAATAAGTAGAACTTAGAATTTCTTACATTTCATTACTTTATCTAAGTAGTCTCTTCAGAGTAAATAAATAAATAGCTGAAATTAAATTAGAACAAAATTAAATAGTATTAAGGAACAAAGTTCAAAATCGAAATGGATCTGAATGGATCAATGCCATTTTAAGAAACATCAGAAATGGAAAATCACAGATCTATTATCATTTTTTTTATTTTAGTGGATAGACATAATCATCATTGATTGCTAAGAAATAATAACTTTTAAATAATAAAACCTATATTCAGTGTTTTTCTTCCGGACTATTTATTCATTGTCATAAATTTAAGGGTTTTGACATGTTATTTTGATTATTTGGAAGTTATATATCCATTCATGATATCCTAATATTAACAAACAACTCAAAAGTATTAAATAGATATCCTTTTTTGTATTAAATTGAGTTGTCTATATTGTATTTCATAAACCATGATATATCAACAAAAGATTTTTAACAGAAGGAGTTTTCGTTGATGTTGTAGTAATTTTAGTAGTTGAGATCATGAGTAAATTTAAGATAGACCACCATGAAAAACCTGGAAGCACTGGAAAGCCGTTTCGTCCTATTGTGGGATTCCTCAACAGTGAGCATCAACGATCACGCCCCCCCTGAAATTCGAACCCACGACCTATCGGTCTCGCATGCGAACACTTAACCGCTGGACCACTCGAATGGCCGGTATACAACTGTGTAAATGTCTAAATTCAACTAATCCACAGAATTGAGCGACACATTCAACGTTGTCTTCAGTAAGTTACTATCTCATAACAGACTGGATTGAACATCACTAGTCTTTGCTTCTCACTAGAACTCCAGGAAATACCTGTTGAAGCCAGTCACTAGTGAGCATATTTTGATTCATATCAGAAAATTTCTTTTAGATATTATGTAATATTACCGTGTAGAAATTAATTATTCATCATCAAATTCAGTGTTCAAGATTACTATTCGAAAAAACCTTCGAAAAATGTTCCGAACTACCAATTAACATGACATCTGAAATTATACTCACCTAATAAATATGACAAGAATATAAGCTACTAAATATTTTCAACTATATAAAGTAACACTTTAAGTACATGTTACTACATTTACTTCAATGAATCAATAAAATTAATGTGCATTTAAAGATCAAATATTGTAAATTAAATGTTTAACAAATAAATCGTATTCACACAAGAAAATAATTTGTTCTTGTTTTCTTTTAATAAATTTGTAAAAATGTAAAAAAGTGAGACTATAATTTATGGATGACCTTTGAGTTACGTTAAACTGACTTTGGGTGTGTTCACTTACCACCCAGGATCAAATGAGGTTTATAAACCTGTGTGAGGAATTAGAATTAGAATTTAAAGTTGATGATTAAGCTTAGGAATTAAATTTCGGATTTTCATCACGAAATGACATCAACTATAATACCATGAATCTATTTATCAAAATAGATGAGTGAATATCACTCCAAAATCCAAAACCTGTTGTTTTATAGTTGATTGTTTCGTCCATAATTTATAGTCTCATCATATAAAAATGATCAAATAATCCACTTACATATTTTCATAACAATCAAAACCATCTAAATAACATTCATTTCTATTACATTCAGATTGACATTTACCATTTTGAAATTGTTCAACACATGTTGTTTGATTATAATCATTATCATTATCATTTTTAATATATTGAGTTGTTTGTAAACAATTCATCCAATATTGACAATCATTTTCTAATTCATCTTTTATATTTATACAATTTGCATAGATACAATTTGCTTGACATATATTATCACCAATTTTTGCTTTATCACATCCAATTCGATAACAATAATCATTTAATAATTCTACATTATTTGTTATATTCTTATTGAATCTATTTATATTCATTGATTGATTATGAATTAAAGTATTTATATTAGAATAAATATAATTAGTTATATTTGTAGCGGTATTACAGATTGATCCTGTAAATCCTAAATCATTTTATAGAAAAACCAACAAAAAAAAAACAGAAAATATTTCTTGAATATACTATGGATATTGATGAAGTAGAAAGGTATATTTTATAAACATATGAAAATTTTATATATTATACACTGTTAACTATTTCAATGGGACCTATTTGTTTAATTCATTCAGGATATCAATGTTCACGATCATAGATATCTTAGAAATATTACTCGCAACTGCTTGGATTACCAGGTATGTAATAATGAGGTTAGATTCAGGGTATTAGGGAATGATGGTAAATCAGTTGATAAGGTTGTGAATCTTCATCGACTGAGATAGTTGGGCCACATGTTACGTATACCTGAACAACGATTACCACAACACGCAATGTTGACACTAGTGTTAGAGATGATTGGAAAAAAGTTAGAGACGGTCAAACTAAAATGTGGCATCAGTGCTTGAAATCTATAACTTCTGGTGTGAGCCATGTTGGTGGATGCAGACTACTTGATTGGGGTCTGCGTGACTATCATAATCAATGGTTGGAGACTTCCTTTAAACTAAGAGGTTAAAATAGCTTCATATCTTTCTTTGTAAGAACTAATTCTTTCTTCCCGTACTATGTCCTTATATTCAATCTTTCTTTTATATATATTACCACCACTGAATTAACTACTTCTATGAATTCGGTGTTCATCTTGTTGTGCTAATGAAGTATGGCAACTTGGACCGATGCATATGTGTCTGGTTCTACTTTGTAGCTGACTAACTGACTGACTCAATATTCAAGGAAATGTTGATTAATTTTAAATTATCAAACTCAGATATATCTAGTCTTAGCTCTTTGTTATACTGTCCAATGTTCAATATATACGCATTGTTCCCTTCTACTTCTGTCTACTGAAACAGAGTTATTTAACACTTATTGAACTTATATCTTACAACTGAAGTTAAGGAAGAAGACCTGTCTTAAGTTTATAAAGTAGTATTCGACATCGCGCAGTTCTCATTAACAGAGTAATTTATATTATGTCATATAAAGATTTGAACTAGCAATTCATCACATATCACAGTTACTGATATTCAACAGGAAGATGTACCTCTTAGATTCTAGCTTAAGTTAACCTTTGAGATTCAAACTTAAATTCTTTAGATTTAGGAAGTGCTATGAATGAATTGTTCTGTTCACAATAATTCATCAAATTTATTGCCTAGAAAGAAATAACGTAGTTATGAGTTTTGGAAGATCATTAACCTTTCTTTCATTGAAGACATACCACTTTACGTAACTCTGAATGAACATAATGTATATGGGTTTTCAATCACCTGAATAATTACACGTCACCACCTAAAATAGGTTGTACTAGTTAAAATCCAAGTCAACTCTGTAAAAACGTTGAAAATGATCAATTGCTAAACAGTGGTAAGTTAATCAAATTATCATTAGTGGAACCATTAGGTATTTTTGTGTGCAAAATTAGTTAATTCAAAGATAGTTTTAATAGAAATCAAATTCATTATAGGACAAACAAAAATTGTGCAACACTAAGCATTTTCAGTAGCTCTTGTTTTTTTGAATAATTAGAATTCTTAATACAAACTGATCTAAATAGAACTTTATTGCATTAAAAACGTTTGAATGGATAACAATGAACGATGGTCACGTTACATCACAAATTCACCAAATTTTCGTTGCTAAGTTGAATAAATCTCAGCTTTAGGACTGTATAATATTATATCGACAAACAAAAGTGGTTATCGATTGGACCACATACACGATCGAAAATTCGCACTACGAAGAAGTTATGAAACATGAGTAAGTGCTTGTATAGTGATTTCTGGTCTTCAGCTGTTCTTTAAATAATAACGTCACTTCATAAAAATTTATCCTGCTAGCATAAACTCAGTACATTTGGATAATAATACACTATATTCATTTTAGGCTCAGTACAGAATTTTACTGTTGGTTCATTACAATATCTGGGATAATTTACAACTGTATTTGCACAGTATAAGTATACAATGTGAATTCAATCATAAATACTTACGATATTTATTTTCTTTATCAACCAATTATATTGGATTCCTAATACTAAAATAACTTATGTACATCGAATATCTGACGAATACATTTTGCAAGCTTACTATTATCATCTAGATTATAAAACAGGAAAGACATTACATACGGTGCATTACAAAGAAAAGGACACAGAAATATTCTTACCTACAGGACATAGACAAACAAAATGATCATTATTTTGTAAACAAGTTGCACCATTTTTACAATTATGAAACTTGCATGAATTACGCTTCTTATCACAATAACGACCAAAATAATCAAGGTCACATTCGCATAGAAAATCTACAATATACTCTGACTTGTGAATAGAAAACGATGGTCCTGAAACTGTTCTATTCTTTGAAGTCAATAAATGACAAACTGATTTCTCCCCCAAACACGGAGATGTAGGATAGCATGGGTTAATTTCCTATATCAAAATGCAAAATAAAAAATAACATAAACTACACTTGGTCATTTGATTTCACTAGAAGCTTTACAAAGTAAGCTTTGTCCACAAATATATCATTCTATTCACAAAATGTATGATTCCTTTATTCATGAATCGTGGAATGATGAAAATATAAAATGTTACTACATTGACATTTCTACTTGGGTAAATAAAGTAATATCAGTTAGCTTCAGCACTCTAAGGTAATTACAGATTAATGATGGTGCCATGATTATTTTTTTGGGACAGTTGCCAGCTAACGTGTTAATCGTATACGTTGCGAAGTTGGTTGAAGGCATAATCGATAACATGTACTTTTATTAGCAGAATATGGGACCAAACTGAAAATATCTTCTGTCCGTATAAAGCCTGGAAGGACAGGGCAGCACCTTAGTTCCCAAAGTTATTATCCAGTATAGTAAAAACGAGAGTTAAATAAGCGGATATTCAATGGGATTTGTTTTATCTTTACAAATGATACAATAGAATCCAATGTGTAGATGTTAAATGAACCATTCATTCAGAATGGATAATGATTAAAATTCATTATCTGATGAAGAGGCAGTAGTAGGTTGAGAACTAATGTCCTTTTGGCAAGTGCAAGTCCATCTACATCATCGTTTGGTCGGCTTACCATGGAACCAAGATAATTATTTTTAAGACAATATAGCCTATGCTTCATCTAAAAACTATACAGCATGTGAATGAATGCGTTGAATTCTACTGTCCTTACAAAGTGACAGTTATATGTGAACACAGATACTTATGGAGGGATAATCGTGAATTGAGAGTGAGGATAGCTTAACATGTACCAATACAGTTTCAAGGATAAGTGAGTACAAATGATTCGATACCCACCACTCTTGATTGTCAAATGTATCGTTGAAATGGGCCATATAATTAATCTAACCCATATCTTGTATTTTTAAATAATAGCTGTCTAGAGTGAATACGTCGGCCTTTTCAAGCTTTAGCCATAAGAATATCCAACGCCTCCCTCCTTCATTGTGAATTCAAAAGCAGTACACGCTCCCACAAAATCAACCCTGATTATATTGATTTAGTCTTAATTTCCAGATTAGTGATATCCATACAATACTTTCAAATTATTATTGATTTCTCTTATGTTCTAATTTGCCTAGTTTATCTCTTATATTTGACCATCTTTGGAAACTTATATACTATCAAACTGTGTGAAATATTTACTCTAATATATCTCATAGCTCTGATAAACTCTGTCTTATCATAACATTATCTAAACCTAAATTACATGAGATATAAAATATATTTGATACTATTACCGCTGAGGAGTAACATACTAAAATGAAAGGGCCGGCCAGTGCTTCGAGGTTTTCCATGGTGGTCTAGCTTCAACTGACTCAAGATCTCAACAATTTAAATATATATAATTCTTTAAACAACAGTTTTAAAGTTAACAATAATTAGGGATGTTTTGTGTTAACGTTCAGAGCATTTACTTAACACTTTTAAAACTTCAATAAATAAGAAACACTTTCGTTTCGGAAAGAACACTTTGTTTATTGTCATGAAATGCCAGTATATTACGTAGTAGCAATATAAGGTTAATAATAGTTATTCTTTTTCATACACATAATTCCCTTTATCATTTTGAAAAGAGCAAGACCAAGGATTCTAGTAGAATAGCATGAATTCATTTTTATTTCGTTGGTTCTCGTCAGCTGCTTACAACCTGTGATATTTAAAATCATTATTACATAATGAGTTTAAATTACTTACATGGAAGGGTCTGGTTGGGAGTTATATTGCAGACATATTCTTATAGTATAGCAAGGATGTAAATAAAAATTTTGTAAAATTAAGTTAGCGTTAAATATATATGATTTCAATATTATAATTTCTTTAATTAAACTTTAAATTTCCATTTTTTGTTATCTAGTAGCTAAATCATTTACATATTTACATCGATGTAATCATTCTGTAAAGTAAACTCTACCTTGAACTGAGTTTCTTCAATTTATTTATATTCCTACACTTTGTAATGTTACTTTTGATTTAGGAATTCTTGTCTTCATATTAAAATAAGCTTTTAGAGTAAATAGTTAGATTCAGTTGTTGTTTTACTTGTATCTTCCCATGGTGTTTGAAGCGAACAGTACTAGGTTCGAGTCCAAGAGTGAACATCAGCTCTGCAATGCAGGTACAACCAGTTGACGAGTCTCAAATAAGACAAAACGAGCGTCCTGGATTTCACTGCTAGCCGATATCCATCTTTGTTTAAATAGATAGTTAGATGATTGTATAAGCGATATATATATATTTTTTTAAAGTTGATAGTTTGTCGTTTTCTATAAGAAATTATACTTGTTTATTAGATACTCATCAGTATTATATATATATATATATATATATATATATATATATATATATTCAGATTTGATGTTTATTTTGAGTAATAACACTTGTACTATATGATATACCAGTTGGTAAAACCTAAAGCTTTATTGTATTATAGTTACATTACAGCATTAAGACAACAACAAAAAGACGTAGTTTCGTTCAAATTAGAAATAAATACCTTAATTGTTTGAAATAGTGATATTTGTCAAAATTGCAGAGTAGTTTTTTGTTTCAAAGTTTCTGAATATCTTCCTGTTCCAAGGGGTTATAACATCATATCAAAGCATTATGTGTTCTCAAGAAAAACGTAGATCTACTGAGTATGATAAGTACTAAGAAATCACCTATGAAATATTAACTATTCAGGAGGTTGTTAGCTACTTAATTATAAATGATAAAAAGTTCAAGTGTCATGGACATCGATATTATTATTGAATAGCTACATGAACATATATTGTATGCCATTAATTATATTAATATTATTATTTTCTTACCTGTTCACAACGTACTCCGTGGTACCATTGAGGACATATGCAAGTAAATTGACCAAATGGATCAGACTGACAAGTTCCACCATTTAAACAAGGGTTAAGTTGACATGGATCTCTATATTCACAAATCTGACCTAATAAATAAATATAAAGAGTTACTTGAAGAAAACTGAATTCACTTGAGAATAAAGTTCTTTGTTTGAAGAAAAAAAAACTTTTTTCTTTAAACATAACACATTCATAAATGAATGATAAAACATCATTTGTATCTTTTGTTATGAGAAACTAATAATTTCTATGAATTTCACAGTTATTGATTGATTTAACCTAGCCAAATAACTCCATTCCTAAGTTTCATATTTTGAATGGAGTTTGTTTTTATAGCTTAGCCAGTGAATAGACAGAATCATACTAGATCGTATTTCTTCGGATAAGGTCAATCATTTGAATTATATGCATACCATTTGCAGTATTTCTGAACTTGATGAGTTTTGAATAAAATTATTGTAATTAGTCTTGAATTGGATAATAAATTTTATTGCCTTTATCTATTCGTCATTGACCATTCGATGATAATTACACATTAAAATTCCATTCACGGAATTGAGAACTAGATTCAGAAATTTTCTTAAGAAAACCAATAATAATCAGTGGTGAAGTAGAATTTGAACTTTCTTGAAACTTATCATCTTACTTATTTGTTATCTTTCGTGCTAAAATGTTTTAAAAGATATTTTTCTTTAAAAATCCCAACTAAAAAACAAGCCCTCTTCAGTTATCAGTCTTAGTGATTTGATTCACTTAGCATATTTTCACAACAATTATCACTTGAGTAGCATAAGTTCCATTTACTCTGATATTCTACAATCATGAATCACCATACAATAATACCGTTTATCAGCTTCTTTGATGTTCACTGAATTATTAGTTGATATTCCGAAGGTTAACAAGCTTAACTAATGAAACTAGAGTACTGATGGAAAATGTAGATATACCAAGTGTTTTCAAATACTTTCATAAAAATGTATGCTTACCAACATATCCTGTTGGACAATGACAAAAAAATCTCATATTTGGTTTATTTTCACAAATACCACCATTTAAACAAGGACGAATTACACAATCATCAATATCTTCCGTACAGTTTTGTCCAGTCCATCCTTTCAGACATACACAGTAATAATCTGACAAAGTCTTGAATTTCTTTAATGAGGTCGTTCTACTCCAATCTTGAATATTTACACATTTAGCGCTGTTTTGACATGGATTTGGTTGACAAGGATTATACGGCCTAGATAATTCTGGGTTTATAAATATAAAGAAAGATGCTAACTATTGCATATATACTTGCATACATATCAAATGTAATCATGTTTGCCAATATAATCAATAAAGTTAATGAGTACTAAGCGACATAAAGCTATCAATATATTCAACCACTTTCTAAAGTTCATCTTCCGCCAGTAAATATCATATCAGTCTATCTATCAAATAAATCACAAAACACCGTTTCCTAACCCTTTTCCATTGCATAGAAATGAAACTTTAGAGTTGAGCGGCGCAGTTTCGAGTCCCACAGGGAGAATCAATTGCCTCAAGGGTACACATACACCATTCTGACAATTACTAATTGGCATAAAACCAAGATCAGTGGTCATTTTTCATCTACTATCAACCACCTAACAGATAAAATCTACGATGATCAAACGTGTATACACTATGGCGCATAGTTAACAACAAATCTAGAAACAGGCAAGAGAAATAATCAGTCGATCAGTTATTAAACAACCAAAGTCAATTTTATGGTTCTATGCATTTACTAACTAACTAAAAAATAAAAAGTCAAAAATAAAACACTTGCATATGTGAAGAAATTAATGAAATTATTGTAATAATATAAATAACTGTACGTGATAAAACATGAAAACATTAATATCGTCTTATAAAAAATGATGGTTAGACATTGACACTATTAGATGCTGGCCATCCCAGTGGTTTAGAGGTTAAGCGTTCACGCTAGGTTTGAAACTCACGAGGCTGGATCGTATGATGCTTACTGGTGAGGAGTCACACAATAGGGTGAAACGATCATCCAGTGTTTCAAGGTTTTCAATGGTGGTCTAACATTAATCAGTTCATGATCTCAACCTATCTTAATATTATAAGACTTCATACAGTTATTTTTTTCAGTAAAACAAAACCAATGCAGATATTTGTTGCGAATTGTGAGAACATGTTTTAGTTCCGTTGACATTTTCTCACTCTACCAAATTAATTAGTAAATGAATTCAGTGATATGACGAATCCAAATTGTATTGAATGTTTTTATTAATCTTTACTATAAGTAAGGAATATCAAAAGTTTATTTATTAGATCGTGTTATGACATGAAATCTTGAAAGCTTAAGTAATTTGTTTAAATATCAGGATTCGACTAGAAGTGAATTGATGAATATTAAACTGTCTAGACAAGTTCTTTATCCTGTTAGAAATAAATACGTGATTTCACTGGATATCCTTAGGTTATGCTTTTGTATTTACATATAACCACAGAATATAGTGTTTACAATCAACTATGATCTAAGTAATTTTGAAACTTCTTAGTTTCATTTATAGTTCCAGTATATTAAATATTCCAATTTAAACATCAAAAGTAAAAAAATTTAGTGAAAAAAAAACATTTCTTTCCCAGTAGATCCTTGTCGTAACTTTACGCTGATTTATTTGGTCATTATCTGAATACAAAATCAACATAAAATAAAAGGTAGTTAACCGTTAAGTGGCTAGAGTTAGTTGACAAGAAACCCTAAATCTAGGCTCCGCATTAGTTGGCGATAGTCGGCCTAAACGTGCATTTAATCTTAAGGAAAGTGATACTCCCTGTGGGATTTGAACCACCGTAACCCACCTTAACGGTTCGAGAAGTTACTGTTTGTTATTCGAGCTTCAACTGAACACCAAGTGAGTGACGAAATAAAAATATGTTTATCGCAATTCAATATTATCATTATAGACTGTATGGACTAGTCATGAAATCGCTCTACTAGAAAGTGAAGTAAATTTTAATCGTCTCAGTTCTAAGACCGATACTTGGAAAACTTTCGGATAAACAGTCGCACATATTGCGTGAAAAAAATCTCATATCTAGACGGAAAAAATATCCCCTCCACCTAATGTTTACAAAAAAGAATAGAAAGCTTTGCTTACATTGCAAAAGAATATAACGATTGTTATTGCCAATGCTGACAAAGGTAGTACAACAGTGGTCATGAGCAAAAGCTACTATGCAGATAAAGCCCTTTGACATCTAACGACGGGACCAAATGTAAAGATCGATTCAAAATATCTTCAAGTGGTTAAAAATAAAGTTAAATTGGAGACAATTAAACTTCTGGAAGAACTAAAGCCTTTTATTGGCGTTTCGCTACAGTATACTTTATACCCTAAATCTAACAGCACATCACGTTTCTATAGGCTACCATAAATTCACAAGCCTAACTATCCTTTAAGATCCATTGTGGACCTAACGAATACTCCCACATTTACTTCATCTAAAAATCTAGGTAGTATACTGAAACCAATCCAGCATAACCTAATTAAAGTCGTAAAGTATTCATTTGAACTCAAATCAAAGATCTCGGAATTATCCATCAACAAGAACGAAACACAGGTAAGCTATAATGTTGTATCTTTGTACACTAACATTCCAACCGATAGATGTTCATTAGGCAATAGTTCAATGATGAAATCTCTCAAGTTATGATTGAATTCAACACTATTCACTTTCAATCGAACTTTATATAAACTAACAATTAGAGTAGTCATGGGATCGCCAGTAACTCCGATTTTTGTTACTTTATTTATGCCCCTGAATCCTTTTGGAAGAGCAACCAAGATCATTAATTCAGAAGGTAAACTAAGGGAAAAAGATGATATAATTTAATAATTTGCCTAGGCATGTTATTAAAAACATATTAAGTCACAACTGTCCTTCTTCAAACAATAATTCTAATGAAGGATCTTGGATTGGTACAGTAGTTTTACCTTGCTAACAAGGTATGACAAAAGAATTACAACGGTTCTTGAAAACTTACGAAATTAAAGCTTTCTACAAGAGGAGCAACACTATAAGAAACACTTTATTTAGAATAGAAGATCCAGTTTATATATACATGGAATTGTTTCCACAGATCAGGTTGTATCGATTGTGGTGCGTTCATATAGGAGAGTCTCCCCGTGAGACCCCCAGTCATATCTCAGAACATGTAGTTTACACAAAAAGACCCCCTAAAAAAACATTAGAATTGGAAAATCATTAATAGCAGTATGTGCTGCTTTCAATAATCACCAAATTCGAATAAAAAAATATTAAAATAATTCTGGATGGTTTTTCCAACCATAAAGAGAAGCAAGTAGCCGAAGCACTCGAGATAACGTTAAATCCCTCTACCCCCAATAGGAAAGAAGGCCTAAATATTCAGCCAACCTGAACTGTTTTTCCAAACAACCACATTTGACGCTACTCATTTTCCACACAATTTAGACAAATACACCGAATTTCAACTCCACTCGGTCATATTGCAATTATATACATTTTTCATACCAACCTTCTGACTCACAAATCAATACAGAGATGTGTTATACAGAATCGCCTTGACCAAAAGTAACTCGACTTGATCAAACCAGTTCTTGATTGATCACATCAAATATTCTTGCTTTATTCTTTTGTACTATTTAAACTTGGGTTAATTTGCTTATTTATTCTCTCAAGCAGTGACCTACATCAAGTCACGTAATGTCAAGAAAACTTTCCTCTCACTGGGATATCGTAAAAATATATTTATGATTTCAAAGACTATAGTTGGTTAATAATTCAACGGATATAAAAACAATAAAAATTAGACTAACTTACAATGATCCAAACTCACAACTTAAGAGTAAAAATCGAGAAATCTAAGAATCTAGAAGATATCTGTTAGCCTTTCTCCATCCTAGTTCAGTCAGCTGAAACAAAATTACATCAATTTCATTCTTTCTTAGAAACATTATCCCTTAGTTGTAGGAGTTTATGAAGTTTACAAATAACTGATGGAATAGGTTTTTATTCCCTTTTTATAAATATCCTATAAATGCAAAGAAATTTGTTGATATTATTTTATCATTTGCCTTAACAATTACAGTCTTATCGTAATTATAATTACGGTGAAACTGATCCGTTCAATGAAAATTATGGTTAGGTATCAGAAAGCTTGCGGTTATAATTTACTCTTACGTTATATGATTTATGTACTCTGCATAAAGTTTCAAATACCAATAACTTGTTTCAAAATTATTTTTTCGAAGATTTCTTGAAGTCATTAACAATTTGAAATCCTTTTTATCAGTTGAATTCACGAGTCTATGTAAGACAGACTACCGTTGTAAACCTAAAAGCATTGGACAACCGTTTCGTCCCAGTATGGGACATCTCAGCAGGGTCTAGTTATGATCTCGAACGTATGACTCAAACCCAGGACCAATGATCTGGCATCCAACGGTAATAAAGTCAGTTAAGAGTGAAAGAGTTTATCAGAAATGACACTACATGATGATTACACTTCAGTTGAAGCTAGAAATGGTAACTACACTCATGTTCCTTGTTCAAATCGAGAGTCAAGGTCTCAATCTTGTGACGGATTACTGATTTATACCACCAAGCAATCTCTGTGACAAAACTACATCTAACACTTCCTAGATTCAATGATTCTTTAAATTATATGAAATTAATTTGAAAAATAGCTATATAACTACATCGAAACGTTCTGAGCAATCATTTGCGTTAAGGGTTCTCAACGAGTATCTGAAGTTTAGCACAAGGCTCAGTGAGGCGAAGACAAATGTTGATTTTATAAATAGCTAATAAATTACTATTTTTTTTAGATAAATTCAAGACCTGATATACACTAATCTAAAATAAAATAATTAGTCTAGCACATTACTTTAACAATATAGTGTATTCACAAACATTTTTTTCCGTATACATGTGTTTACATACGAATGTAATGAGTAATCTAACTTCAGAACTACTTTAAGTATCATTCAAGGTCATCAGACTTTCATAAAGGTTCCATTTTTTTTGTTGAAAAATTCATTGCTCAGCATGTGTTTCTGTTTAACAATAATTAAACTGTATGACATTTAAAAAATAAAACAAGTAGTCATATATCTCTTTACAGAAAAATAATTTTTTTGTTGTTGTTTTTCCTTTTCTTTATTTATTTATAAAATCATGCAGCAAAAAAAAGTTTATGATTAAATGACCTTTAAGTTGTTTTATCATAGAAATACTTTATTTTGACCATGTTAAAACTCATTTTTTTTAAGTAAATTTGAAGAGATTCTTTGCCATAAATCAATATCACTCGAAAAACATTAAAGTTGTTTTTTTTTGCGATACAATCCATGTGTCTAGTCCCTTGACACAACAGTGAATGATAATAATTAATCTATCAAATTATAAGCATACAAGTATGTGAATGTAAACTTAATGTTAACCAACCATGAAATTGGAAGTAAACGTATATCAACAAACAGATTGAACATGTTTTAATTTTCTTCAATACAGCACCACTTATAATGATCATTAGATTGAGTATGAGAAAATCTCTAGCCAGTGTATTCAATGTGTTTTTAATACCACTAAAGAGAATCAGTTTGAAAGATTAGTTACAAATTTGATATGAAAACAAAAAATTCCATTTGAATTACGATGAACTTCCTAATTCATATTATGTTCATTGATTAAGTATAAAAGTATCTTGTAAATCTTGCATTATGATTCAATAATATATAAATCTCAGGTAAAGAAAATGTGGACTAGTGATAATAGGACTCTAGTATCAACTATTAAGTCACAGATATATATATATATATATATATATATATATATATATATATATATATATAACACAAGGCAGTTATGCACAGCACAACACAACACAACACATACGAAACTGAATGTACCCTAAAAATGTTTTATCTGATTTATTTTTTCTTTAATATTAACCTCTTCTGCTTAAGTGACATTATTAATCCCTTTGATGAATAAATAGTTAGACAGTTAAAAAAAGTCATAGCAGTTAGTACTAATCATAACTGAACAAAGAACATTGTAACAGATATTGGATAAATTAGATTTAACTAAAATATAACTTGGTTTAATTTTTTGTAAATAATAAAGGTATATATTAATTATTCCACGATTAAATTATTTAGAAAATAAATGATACTAATCAACATATACTCACTAGTGACTGGTTTCAACAGTTATTTCCTAGAGTTCGAGTGAGAAGTAGTGACCAATGGAGTTCAATCGGGTCTGTTGTGATATAGTAACTCACTGAAGACAATGGTGGATGTGTCGCTCGATTTTGTGGATTAGTTGAAGGTAGATATTAACGCCGTTGAATGCAGGCCATCCCAGTGGTTTAGAGGTTGAACGTTCTCGCGCGAGATCGATAAGTCGTAGGTTCGAATCTAGCGAGGCGGGGTCATGGATGAGCAGTGTTGAGGAGTCCCATACTAGAATAAAACGGTCATCCTATGCTTCCAGGTTTTCCATGATGGTCTAGCTTCAACTACTGAATATAAAAAGTGATAAACCAGTCTGCGAAACACAGGCTTATGACATGACAGGTGATTATCCTATCAAGCTGCACAAACTGAAATTTGTAGACCTCAGTTCAAACCTGTGACTTAATGGTTGAGACTAGAGTCGTATTATCACTAGGCCACATTATCTTTATCTGAGACTTATAAATTACTGAATCATAAGACTATTTTGGATGAGTAGAACTAAATCTCCAAATGTCCCCGTAATCTTTCATCTAATGAACAGTCGATAGAGTATTATTATGAAAAGTACTTAAACAATTATTGGAACTGAGCTTAAATAACAAACAACTCGAGTTATCTAATTAGAATAATTCCAACTATTTCGATCTGTCAATTAGTTGATTTCAGCAGGATTTTTTCATTATAAACTCTGAGCCAGCAAATGGGCAAACAATAGTAAGATCGCGTTTATTTCATCATGGTAGCTGTTTAACAAATTAGATTCAGAATGACCTGTAAAGTTATCTCTCCTCAAATTGGTTTAATGACCTATAAAGTTTTATATCAAGAGTAAAATGTCAAACGAACCTAGGTGTTTAGTTGCTCTTTAATGTTTTCACATTATTTCTTCGTTTTTGTAATAGGGAGTTTTAACAAAACTCATGATAGTTATCTCTTCACAATTCTATTTTTATCATGTGTAGCGTATACATTTTGGTGCCCATTTGTACAAATATTTATGTGTCGAAATAAATAAATAAAAATAATGAAAAATAAAAGAACACTAGTTTCTGGTGGTCCGGAATTCGAGAAAGTCACCAAGAACGACCGCTGAGAATTTTAGGAGGAATTTATAATCGATTTTTAGTGATCTAAATTATTCTGTTTAAATAGAATAGAGAGAAAGTGGCTAGCGTTGGAATCCAGAACGTGTATTTCATCAGCTGGATGTGCTTGTATCCCAGGATTGATGTTCATTCTGAGACACAAATCGGCACCTACTGAGTCATGACACATCTATTCTACATAAACGTGCTATTACAATATCGAGGCGAACCGCACAGTATGTATATATTTCAATCAGGACTGATCGAATTTCAGTCAATACGTCAACTAAAGGATGATCAAAACCATAGAAAAATTAAATTATGATATAAACTGTTTAAGTCCTTTACCGCATATAACCCGTTTATTAATCTACATGAACGGTATATATATATATATATAGGTATATATATAGGTATATATAGGTATATATAGGTATAAGCACTTATTAGATAATGGCAATTAATAAGTTTTGATTTAATAGTTCATTTATTTTATGTTAATTGATTTTAAAATGGCTCCTTGAAAGTGGTGTTATATTATGTACAAACGCGAACAGCCATAATCTGTATGTACTGTCCTTCAATTGGTTCAAACTAATTATTAGTCATATTATATATAATCAATATAATTTCTATTTTATCATTACTATTAGTTGTGAATTAAATACAATGAAATTTGTTTTACTAGTGACTAATTTCGGGAAGTAACTCCGGCTTTAGTGACTATCTGTGACCAATGGAGATCAGTAATGTCGAGTATGAAGTAGTTACCCATGAACTGGTCGAAGTTTAGCATGTAAACAATCTCATCACAGTGAGGTGTGGTGAGGCCGTAGATTTGTGCTTTTAGAGAGTCCCATGCTAGGA